TTCAAATTATTTTTAAGAGAATTGTCTATCAAAAATTTGTCTACATTTATAATATTTTTTTTTTAATTTATACAACATTTCATTAAGAAAGATATCGCCTAGAAATAGAAACAATTTGCTTTCCCAAAAATATATTCCCAAGAATTCAATTTTTAACAAATCTTATTATTTATTGAAACTTTAAAACCATTTATATTTGGATTTTTAACTTCACTCAAATACAATTATTGTTTGCGAAACAAGCCCATTTACCTTACCTAAATATTTCTGTGTGTCTTCAATTGAACTGCATGTGGGGCAAAGCTTATACATTTTAAATCAAGGTAAATGTCATTTGGTGTTCATGGCAAATATAGTTGCAAAATATTCTGTGTGCGTTAATAATGTGCACAAATTTAAATAGGGAATAATTTAAATTGCATAACAATTATTTCCGTTCGCAGTTCCTGCCATCCGTTGACCACCGTGCTTAACGGTGAATTACGCTTTATGCCGCCAGGGCAACGGGGCGTATGCGTAATAATAATTACGCGACGCGTTGCCGTCGCCGAAGCAATAATATTTATGAAAGGCTTTAAATTGTCCTTGTCGGTTGTACAACATATATTTTAATACATTTATATAGACACCGACAAAAAAATTGTTAAGAAAATTAAAGGAATCATTGCCGCATATTACCATTGTTCATAATTAAAGCAACTATAATAAATAGAAAGTATGCTTTGATTTAAGTACATTTTCATTTAATAAACAGAAAACACTGCTGTCTACATTAATTTGAGGAGTTTGCTATTATTCGGTATCTCATAACACATATTTGTATTTGTAAAATTTTCTTACTTTTCCGGAAGTAATTGCCATTTTTGAACAGTGTATATTATGTGGAAGTACGTGTACATTTGCTCCGTTTTGGTTCTTTGTGGTGTTATAATAAGAATGCGGTTTATCACCTGGCCGAAAGGCGAAAGGGGGGCGGGGCCGGTCGGCTGACAACGATTGCTAATGCAAATTACGTATACGCACGGTGGCACAGGCGACGGCAGGGGCTGGATGCCAATAAAAAATATGGCCTCAACAGGATTAATACATTATTTCCGCCCCAGGCTCTCGAGGATCCCGAGAATCCCGAGAATCCCAAGAAGCACATGTGTTGTGGTGTGGCTGTTGCTGTTGCTTTGCGCTTTTATGATTATTGTAGTGGCATCGTCGTCGTCCTCGTCCTCGTCCTCGTCCTTGTTCCAGGACCAAGCACTTATGGCCGTGTTTTTTTCGGCCCTCCTTCTCTCCAGTGCCTTTCGAGTGCACTCTGCTGTTTCATTCCAACTATATTTGTTCGCCATATTTGTATACAAATTCCTTTTGCCCCCCCCTTCCCCCTCCACACCCCTTTTCCGCATTTCTGCGCACTCTGCCGCCGGGTTCTTCTATTTTCCATAAAGGATATTCGCAGCCCAGCTGGCAGTGTGTCCGGCTCAGGCACTCCACACACCCACTCGCCAGGATCAAGTGCTGGAAAAGTGCATATTAATTTGATGTTTTTGTCATCTGAAGGAGCTGTAGGTCGAGGACATTGTTACAGTGAATGGGGAATATTTTTGGGGCAGCATAAGAAATCGTATTTTGTTAGATTAATTCAAGGTAGAACCCGCCAGCAATGTTTTTTGATAATGAGTTAAAGTATTTCGTTTCTAGTTTCGAAGGCTAAATTCTAAAAATGATTATCGAAAATAATAAGAAGAGTATAGCCAATTGAGATGGTTTTTGAAGGGGAAGAAACTACTTGAAACACAATAATGATTCTTGTGCCAATTACTATTGTTTCACTTGCCAAGCAGACAACGAAATATAAATACTAATAAAAATACGTTCTTCATAACCAAAACCTTCTTGTACCAATTTAATGTAATATACGATTTTAAAAAACTACAATTCGAAAGGTGAAGTTAAAAAAACTAATTAAAGCTTTTGTTTGATGTTGAGCATTTTAAATAAAAACTTTAAGCATTTCAACCTCAACCTGCGTAAGGCAATAAATTTAAATTAAATACAACGTTGCGTTCATCTACCTAACTAATTAAATTTGATTGGTGTTAAAACTCGCCACGTTGTTCCCATTTCGAGATCGCTTAAAAATAATTTTAAAATGCAAAAGTTCTTATAATATTGCAGAGCATTAAATCGTTAATAAGTCTTTGAACACATTCCCCAAATCCAAACTACTATAAATGGAAAGCACGCGAAATGTAAAACCACTTGCTGACATTACATAATTAATTTGCGACTCCTTGCAATTATGGTTGGCCAGAAATTTCTTATCCTCGTCTGGCTAATTGTTGGCTTATTTATTTGGAAAAAAAAAATAAAAAACGCAACGAAAAAGAAACCAAAAGCCGGCTGGAGCGGGAAAAGAAATTAAATAAACATTTTTCGTGACCATCCAGCGAATTCTCCCTATCTCCGTTTCTGTTTCTCTTTCCTAGTTTCTCGTTGCCATCTCTGTCTATTCATTCACTTGGCCTTTATAATAAAACAATAAACTGTAACAATAGCAATTAAAAATCGCTGAAAGCGGATGTCCTGATAAGGACCCTGAAGCTCGCTTCATTTGGATCGTCCTTGGCGCCGTCCTTTCCCATTGTTGTAATTATGCATTATGCCTCCGATTGTGAGAGCCCAGCCCATTTTGCGTCTCGCATTTCTGCCCCAGCATCCTTTTGGCCATTTTCCTTAGCCAAATTGCATTGTCGGCAATCAAGGAGCGACATTGACGAGTGGCCAAAGGACGACAGCGACATCCAGTCGCATTGTGATGGCCGAAAAACCAAATTCAAAGCAACTTTGAGGCGGACAAACACCGTTTTTAGTCACCTGTCTTGGTATTTTAGCCCGGAAAATGGAATGCAGCGAAGAGCTAGGTGGGAAAGCAAGGAAAGCTCGCCAAAAATATTTTAATTTTTAAACAACATTAAGTAGGCAAAAGCTTATTTGAGTTATAAAAAGATTTCCAACTTTTTATTTAAAAAGAAAAATATAAATGGTTTATATGATATAAGTAACAAAATATTTTTCAGCCTAACTCCTCGATTTTATTATATATTTTATACCATGCAGAGGGTATTTTAATTTCAGTCAAAAGTTTGCCACGCAGTGAAGTATATATATTCTTGATCCACATCATTAGGCAAAGGGAAATAGCCATGTTTTTGTTGTAACTTCAACAGAATAAGAAAGAATAGAATTCAATTATTCATACAATTGCTCTTTTTATGATTTTATTCCTATTTATTAACGTTTCTTTTCATTGAACATTTTTGTACATTTGAAGCAAACACTAATTAGACAATAAAAAAAAAAGGATCTTTAAATTTCCTATGATTCAGCAACTGTGTTTTTATGATCCGAATGAATCATTGAAAACATTGTATTCTCGATAATGGAAAGCTTAGTTGAATTTACCTAACAATATATTTGCGCACAAAAAAGCAGAAATAAACGAAGCAAAAGATTATTTTCAGATTGTAGCAAAATTTTCGAAGAACTATGCAATTATCCTGCTGTTTTTTTGTTTTGCAAGTTAACAAATACTTTCATTAATATTTAAGGCACAAATAAGGGATAAAAACATGAGCTCATTTCTATTTATATGCTAGTACATATACATATTTGATATGGGTTTATCGAGTTGTTGGCCGACGGATGAGAGATTTGGACGGCCACGATAAGAATATATTATATATTATAATCTTTAGGCTTCGTTGTTTTTCCAACTTAAAGCTACATTTCAGTACACTTTTTGAATTCGATTTGAGTAGATGGAGCATCTTAAAATGTTGAGACTATTATCCTATTTGCTTGGCTTATTAATCTTTCCAAGTGTACAAGGAGGAATTGGGTTCAATTCAAAGGATCAGTCGTTCTGCGTTCTCCAAGATGAACCAAGACAGTGTGGCTCCTTTTGCCTGGCCGCACTCAGCCCGCTTTTGATTTGGAAAAATTAATTTGTTGACCGACATTATTTTCGGTTTTTGCAAATATTGGGCAAAACTTAAATTTATCAGCTATGAAATTAAATTACTGTTTAAGGCAATTAAACAGCAAGCACTATGTACTATTATATTAATTGTTTAAAGGAAACTAATAGGAATAAAATTGGACACTTTTTCAGCCCGAAATTCGGAAATTGGACAATACCAGGGAATAATTTTGGGTCGTTCGCTCAAAAGGTTACACATGCCCATTGAATTTCCCAAGAAATTTCTACAAATGTGATTTATGATCCGAATGAATCATGGATTCTAGATTCTGGAAAGCCCAGTAGATAGTGTCTATCAATATATTGGCGCACATACAATCTCAAATAAACAAAGCAGAAGATTATTTTCAGATTGTAAATTTGTTTTCGAAGAAGTATGCAATTATCCCGCTGTTTTTTTGGTTTCCAAATGACTTAAAAAACAAATAAAAACCATTGGTGTTCTGCCAATAAACTAATATAAAAATAAAATAAAATAAAATAAGCGATAAGAACATAAGCTCATTTCCATTTTTATGGTCCATACATATGTATACATATGTACGTATAAGGTGATCTGATTTCTTCCGATTTTTGGGCAACGGACCAGAGATTAGAAAGACCACGTCCCATACATGCGGAATATGAATGTTCACGGGACTTATCAGCAATATTTTAGACTTCGTTGCTTCTTCAACTTATAGCTACATTTTAGTATACTTTATAAATTCGATTAGAGTAGATGGAACATCTTAAGATGCTGAGCCTATTATCCTATTTGCTTGGCTTATTAATTTTTCCAAGTGTACAAGGAGGAATTGGGTTCAATTCAAAGGATCAGTTTTTCTGCGTTCTCCAAGATGAACCACGACAGTGTGGCTCCTTTTGCCTGGCCGCACTCAGCCCGCTTTTCGACCACTCTCGCAATATCCGAAAAAGGTTGGATGAAATCGAGGCAGGGCAGGCAGCCCTTAAGGATTCCTTTAGGATGACCAGGACTATCACAAAAGAAGACTTCGCGAATTCAATTCAGGCTCTGCAGACCAAGCTGGATGTGGAATTGAACAGAATGGAGGAACTAAGAACGGTGAGTTACTTATAGAGAGACATCCTTTCGCGTTCGTATCAGAAGTGCTTATCTCTGATTATATGTAAATTGCATCTAAAGAAAGCACATAAGTAACAGTTTTTTAGCCCATTAAATAAAACTGCACAACAATTATCATATTGCATTGTTTAGAGCTTTATTAGGTAATATTCAAATTTCTATCCTAGCATTTATTTTAGCTTCGAACTGACGCTGACATTTCTCGGCGTATTTAGAAGTTGTCCGTTTTTTTTGGTGTAAGCTCAATTTAGATTTACTACATTAATCAACTTATTAGAATATTGAAAACGAATGCAATGATTATTATTTTATCGCCTATTTTAAATGATTTTGTATAGATGAAAATAACAGCCAATGCCAACGATGAACTCAAACTCCAAGTAACTACTTTGAAAGATACAATAAAAGACTTGCAGAGTCAGTTAAAAATATACGAAGGTCAAATCAAAAGCAAAGAAGATATTTTAAAGGTGAAAGAGGGGCAAATCAAAAGCCAGCATGAACTCCTTAAAAATAGAGATGAACCAATCTCGGACTTTAGGACTCAAATTAAAGCGATTGAGAAAACAAAATCAGAACTATCTAGTCAGCTTTCGGAATACCAAATAAAACTCAGGGAGATGGAACCATTTAAGGTGTCATGTGCGTCTTCTCCACCTGGTTATACTGTAATTCAGAGACGCATTGACGGATCTGAGAACTTCGAGAGAAACTGGCATGATTATAAATCTGGATTTGGGAATGTCAGTGGAGAATTCTTCATCGGGCTGGAAAAATTGCATCGGATGACTGAGGCACGACCCCACGAACTCTACATTAAACTTGGGATGGTTAATGGATCCACCAGTTACGCTCACTATGATGACTTTATGATTGGGAGTGAGGAGGAATTGTACGAGTTGAAGAATTTAGGGAAATATTCTGGTGAAGCCGGAGACTCACTCACATACCATAAGAACCAAAAGTTCTCCACATTTGATCGGGATAATGACAATCATAAAGTAAATTGTGCCTTAGCATATGGTGCATGGTGGCACAATGGCTGTGGATCTAGGTATACCTGTTTATTTATGCTCTGCTTAAATCTTCTTACTATAATCACTTTAAATTACAGTGCGCTCAATGGAAAATACTTGAAAGAAGGCAAAGGTTACGGAATTCATTGGGGCTCATGGCATAAATTCATAAATAATATATCACTGACGTTCACTGAAATGATGATAAGGCCCAAGTCCTTATGAGTCGCACTGTTTAAGTATCAAATATTTGAATAATAATAAAAACTACTAAATCTATACTGTACGCGTAATGGTGTCTGGTATTAATTTGTTTTCATTTGATGAAATGGCATAATTTGATAAAGTGATTGAGATTATTTTACAACTGATCTGTGTATTTTACTTTTCATTCGGATGCCGTTTGTAATCGTTATTAAATTACGTATTTTAAAAGATTGTATTGAGTCATTATGTATGTAAAGGAGAATGATCTGAATAAGAGTACTTTCCAGCCTGAGGACTCTATTATTCTTAGCTCCGCATGTTAGAGGTGGTTGCTACCGAAAGGGCAAAGTCAAGGCAACGATTGCACTTCTGCTCTGGTGTTGAATGTGATTCCCGAAATCGATTCAAATACCGGAAGAAGGTGTCTACAAACATACTTGCGCACTTTTAGTAGCATCTTAAGATCATTCTGCGGTTCTAGATTATCAGCTAGCTATAAATAAGTACATAAGTACGAAACGAGTGCGATAAGCGTTCGCTTTTTATACCCAGGGGATATTATAGTTTAGGTCACAAGTTTGCAATACCATACATTTCTGACCTTATACACTAAAGGAGCAGTTATTCGCGGATCGAAAATAAATTACAAAATTAGTTGTGAGTTTATCAATCGTATTTCTACATTATTTCACGACTTGTGGACGTTAGAGTGGGTGTGGCCTAATTGTCCGAGAAAAGTGTAAGTACTCTACGAGTAACGGATATAAAACTGCTTTTGAAACAGAATAAAGGCCTGTAATCTGTAGCAAATTCTGTCCAGCTGCCCGAGAGTTTCTTTAGGTATGTAGTTTTGGAATCTAGATTTCAGTTGGGATCCACTTCTTGCCATTTAACACCCATCGTCTTTCTTAACTCTTTTTTCCAATAGAAATCTGACCATTATTTCCCAGAGTTTTGATCAAAAACCGAAAATCGAGTTGCATTTTCCACGATTTTGGCCGTCAAAAAAAAAACACATTTTATTACTGTTTCTTGCCTAATTTGATCACTTGATATCATTTCGGATCAATCAATTGCAACTGCAAGGGTATTAAGACCTCGGCTTAGTTAACTTGGGTTTGAAGAATACAAGAATGAAAATATAAAAGTGTTAAATCTTTTGAGGGCATTCAAATTAGTTAATCGATATTTCCATTACATTTTAGTTAAGTTAAGCTTTCAAGTAGTTTGAAATTGAATTATTTCGAATTTTCAGCTGCTAACAAAGGCAGCAATTCCAGAACAACGTTCGAATATCAAGACTAATTTCCCCCAACGTTTTGGCAATCCTTCAATTAAATACTAATGCGGCTCTCTCAAGAGTTATTCCGAATTTGGCACAGATCCACTGCACCACTTGAGCCACTCAAAAAGGCCAAAACACAATTTGCTGCCATAAATCAAAATAGCCAGCCCCGTTGGGATGGGATGGGATTGGATAGAAAACCTGCCACATATGCAAATAAGCTGAGGATGAGCATGGGCACCATTCCATACCACAATCGCAGTGCAGTCAATAAAATCAAGGCAATCGTGTTGCAGAATGCCCCGACCGAATGTCCATCCATCCATCCATCCATCCATCCATCCATCCATCCAGGATGTCTGTCTGTCCAGACAGGCATTTGTTTATAATAATGCCCAGCAGTGTGTTAAACAATTACATTAGAAGGGGGGGGAGGGATGCCAACCTGGCATCGGCAATACGGCAATCTAATTGACAGTTATGAAGATTGTCAAACATACAATTATAACACTCCAACTATCAATGCCAAACATCGATTTGCCATCTAGTTCTGGGCCCTGCATGCAATCCTTAAATTATTCAGCCAAGTGCGTAGGACACCAGGAGTCAGGATGAGTAGGACTTATCCTAAGTGGAGTACCGCCCACAAGGACATCGAAAGATGGGGAGTTTCGATTCCTGCCCGGTGGCATTATTAACATGTTAATCCAAATGTAATGAGCGTAAGGATAACTCATTGTGCCGCCTACATATATATGTATATATCTATATATGCATTCAGATATGCGTATATATTTCTGAACGATGGGCATTCGATCGAACAAACACACACACACACACACACTTATGCACACTCGTCGTATGAATACTAAATGTATTCGATTGATTGTATGCTAATTTAATTGGGAGCCGCTGGAATAATTGCCAATAACTCAACGTTTGTTCGACATGATGAATTCATTTTGTTTCTGGCCCAAATGCGCAGCTACTTGATTTCATTCGAGACTATTTTGGGAGTTAATTCTGAGAAGGACGACGTCAAACGCGGTATATTTAGTCTTTTTGAACTGCTCATCTGGACCCCAAAATGTTACTTAACTGCTTTTGATTTTAAAGCGGTATTGATTAATCAGCGATGGGATATCGATTCAAATAAAAAAAAAAATAATTTAAATTGTGAATCGAATAAAACATTTGACCTATACTCAAGGCTTATCTCAAATTGAATTACTACCGAAAATACGTAACATTCTCTTGAGTTCTTCAGGTGGACAGAATTGCAATGTTTACAGAAATCGTTCACACATTCATTGATAGCTCAAAGCCCAATATTCTTAAGGCAAAACACTGTTAACAAGCCCCTCAACTTAACAATGCAATGGGAATGGCCTTAAAGACCCCTTCATTTTTGATTCATGCGGTTAGTTGGCTTGAGGGTTTTCGGTGCAGTCAGATGCTTCAGGACTTTTGATAAACAAATTGTTTTTGTTATTAAAACCGACCAGCTTCGTTAGCTGCCCAAGTCGCTCTAACTAATTCGTAGACAGATGGAATCCATATTAAGTAGCAGAAGCTCGGCCAGTTTATCGAAATTCAGGCGAATTTCGGCAAGCAGACTTCCACATCAAATTGAATTAATGCGGTATATATATCACGAAATCATAACACAGAGAATTGGGAGATGGATTTGGATCTGGACATTCCTCGTGTCTGTATTTTCGTTGGCCAACCCCAAACCAAATTTCTTTTGCCTGTCAATCAGTATATATATGTGTGCACAGATGATGTCAAAATAATAGTGATATGGTCATAGGAAAATTCATTCATTTCCCCTGTTTTTACTTAAATAATTTACCCATAATAAAATCATCAACTTGTTTTGATTTATTGGGAAATGAAGAGAAATGAATTCACAAAATTAAAAGATATTTTGTTGTTCAAAATATTATTTTATTATTAAAACGATGATAAGTTCTTTGAAATTTCCGAAAATACTGACAGCTCAAATATCTTAGAGCCATATATATTTTTTATGGTAAATAATATTTAATGCTGAAACGATGTGTTTAAATATCCTGAAAACGCTTATGTTTTTTGGAACAGAGCGATGCGTAGAATGTGGTTGCAAGCTCTAAACCAAATGATTTCTCTTCGATGTATTCGATTTTGAAAGGATGTTTAGCTGCTGGAAAAGCCTGAGGAACTGCTATTATTTTGCTGCCAACTGTGTTTCGTTAACGTCTTCCATCTGACTTGGCTCATCAATGGCAGGACACTCGGCAGGACATCCCTCCTCCATTTTGGCCGTTGTTCACACATCAAATTAGTTCAATTTGCGGCTAGCCCAAGTCGCTTTTAATGTGCGTCCAGGCATTTGTTTGTGTGCGTCTCAGCCTCTGTGTGTGTGTGTGAGTGTGCATGTGTGTGTGTGTATTGGCCATTGATTATTGGTCATATCGGTGGACAAACAAAAGGGGGACTCTAACTCTAACCGAAAGCAATGCAAACATAATGAACTTGTCAACACACACATAACAACTCGAACGATTTTCATTTGATTTGATTTTGATTGCGTTTTATATTAATGCCAAAAACACACATCACAGACCCCCCCTCACCCCCTCCCCGTCCCGCATACACTTTTTTTTCGGGGTCAGCTGATTGGCAGCCAAAATAGAAGAGTTTTCCAAAAGGGCTGGTTGAAAAGCGGAATGGGGGGAGAAATTGGAAAAATACCAGGGCCAGGGTTAGAGAATATTTGGCATCGTTTTTTGCATGCTGCAAAAAGTTATGAAAACCTTGTCATGGCATCCATCAGACGAAACAATAACGAGTTCTACACCCGAGCTGAGTACGAAAAAGAGCACTGAAAACGAGGCTAAAAACTCTGGTATTTTCATTTTTTGTTTAATCGAATTTTGAATACCCAACAGACTTGATTGATTAGAGGCGAAAAATGGAGAAATTTATGAGAAATTTGGATTGCCAGAATTTCTATTAATTGATTGTAGTGAAAAAAATAAACTGAAAGGTTCTCTCTATTAAATACTATAAAAATAATATATTTCTCTTATTAATAGCTTAACTGTCATTATAAAGTCTTACTGAGTATTGAAATGGTCAAAAAGTGGAGTCCCTTTTTCATCTGTTTTATGATAAATATTCCATAAAATATTGGGAATTTTTGTATGTCGGCGAAAGACACAAAAAAGCATTTCCTGGAAAATATGTAGCAATTGTAAAATATTTCAATAGTTACCAGTGAATAAAATTATGTTAAACTAAATATAAAAATGACTAAAAATAATTATTATTAAATCACAGAGCATTTAATCAATAATTTTGTTGAAATGAAGAGATGACTTTCTGTGGGAAAATTTAAGGAAACAAAGAATAAGGAAATATGATATTAGAGCTCGTTAGCGATCATTACAGAACAAAATATTTCTAAGTTATTTTTCATCCTCTTTTTTGCTAAAAAGGGTTTTGTTTGGAATGAAAATGGGAAATTAACCAGGCCAAATCGAAACACTTACCGCTTAAAAATGCGGGCACCAAAATGTGCATTTTCAGCCCACTCACACTCACACAAGCACTCACACTCACACACGCACACCACAATCGCACTCACACACACACACACATACCAGCAAATGCACAACAACACTCAGCCACAATGGAAAGCTGCCCGCATGTGTCGACATATTTCGCTTTGCTTTAGCTATTTACTCAA